ACCTAGGCCTCTCCCACTGTAACGTGAGCCCATTGCTCCTTGTTCTGCCCCCACTGAGAACAGCCTCTCTCCATCCTCTTTGGAACCCCCCTGCAGGGAGTTGAAGGCTGCTCTCAAATCCCCCCTCACTCTTCTCTTCTGCAGACTAAATAAGGCCAAATCCCTCAGCCGCTCCTCGTAAGTCATGTGCTCCAGCCCCTTCATCATTTTTGTTGCCCTCCACTGGACTCTCCCCAGTGTGTCCACATCCTTTCTGTAATGGGAGGACCCAAAATTGGAAGCAATACTCCAGATGAGGCCTCACCAGTGCTGAATAAAGGGGAATAATCACTTCCTTCGCTCTGAAGCATCCACAGATCTGGGCCTTGTACTGGGGTGGGACACATGGACCCATAAAGTCAAAGACAGAGGAGTCAGAGGCCACATGTGCAGGAGAGGCAGTCAGGAATGTCACCAGCAGTTTAGCCGGGGGCAAACTTTCCATAGACTGGATCGGGACTTCACTTGGTCTAAATCCTTCACAGGGTCAATGAGCAAGAGAAGTTGAGTTGTGTAGATGTGCTAACAGATGGGTGGCAGAACTGGCCATGTAGAGAGTGTTTGGCGTTCCTTAATAATGCCTCACCCCAAAAGAAACTAGTGGGCAGTATGTGCTGCTCATTCACTGGCCCCAATAAGTAAAAACAATGGTGAATGACGTCAAAATATGGAAATAATACACATATCTCAATGCCCTTCCTGTTGGCCCTGACATTTCAAGAGAATGTCTTGAAAACAAACACACTTTTCTTAAGCAATCACTCAACGGATCAGCAGGCATCAAATCACCTGGCAGCACAGGTCTCCAAAAAACATCCTGGGGACCCCAAACAGAGAAATCTCCTGGAGACTATGTGAAAATAAAGAATAACCCTGGCCAGAAGGAATCATTTTCTGGACCAGAATATGCCCTACTGTGGGAAAGCCAAAGTCAGGGGGACAAATGTGTGGCCCTGTAGCCAGTTTCCATGGTATCCTGTGCTTTGGGGAGCTGTGTTCTGGCCACCTACGCAACACAGTTCTCTGAGCTTGTTGATCTGTCTTCCAGCCCCCACAGGAAGTTACAGATCATCCACGGTACCCTAGAACAACACATCGCCGAGACCTGTGTGCCGCAGGGGGTGCTGATGGTGCAGAACAGGGGATAGAACACTGATAAAGCCATTGTTCTCACCTCTGGGGAAATCCATGTAGGTTTCCGGAGAACGGTGCCATGAGATATGTTTGTCCCTGTGCTCCAACCAGTCTCTGCTGCACAAGCTTATAGAAGCCCAAGTGCTCCGAAGTCACATGGTGAAGTTGCACAGAACTGAGTTGTGGGGCTGATGCCATGGTGCTGAAATTGTAGCCCGATGGAGCAGATTTTCAGGGGACCAACAGCCCCAATGGGATGGGGGGATGGGGAGAGGCAGATTTTCAAAAGAGTTCAGCACCAAATGTACATTTGATGCGCTGAGCTCTTTTGAAAAATCTTGCTGCTTCTTTGGTGCTTCAACGGGACCTGAGAATTTTTGACAAGCTAGCACTTAGGGCTTGTTTTTACTATAGGGTGGATTGACGGGGTGTGATCGATTCAGCGGGAGTTGATTTAGCGTGTCTAGTACAGACGCGATGAATTGACTGCCAAGCACTCTCCCATCGACTCCAAAAGAAGAAGAGTAAGCAGAGTCAATGGGAGAGCATTCGTTGTCGACTTACCGCGGTGAAGATACCACGGTAAGCAGATCTAAGTACATCGATTTTACCTATGTTATTCATATAGCTAAAGTTGAGTAAATTAGGTTAACAACCCATGGTAGTATAGTGTAGGCCTTAGAGGGGATAATATGACCCTACATTGTTGAATCCATATTGTAAACATTGAACGCGAGGATGTATCCTGTTCCCAAACTTCAAATGAAACCAGTTCATAAAAAAAGGAACAAAAACAATAATAATATATTTTAATGCAGAAATTGCTGCTTGCGCTAAGCCCATTGGGGTGCTGCACCTAAAATAATATTCAGTTTAAAGTCAGAAAGCATGCCAAATGGCTCAGCTCCAGAAACAACTCCATCATGAAACTTCGCACCTATAACTCCCTGCAATGTTTGGTTGCCCTAAATTGGTCTGAGCACAGCATTAATAGATTACTATTTGCTTTTTAAAAGAAACTCTATCCTGATTTATTTGAACAAGGTTTCGTTAAATGTTTTTTAATCCTAAATGTTTTTACATGAGGTATAGACCGTATTTCCTCAATGGATGGGTTACATGTGGCTTTTCGTGGAGACGAGTATACATGGGAAGGTGATTTCTACAGAGCGGTGAGCTGATGGAATGGGATGGTAGCTGGTCACATTTAAAGAACAGGTGACTCACATGTGAAAATACAGGGAGGCTACTTTAAAGTAGCGGAGGGAAAAATAAAAGTGATTTGATGTGTACCAGTCAGCACTTTGGTCACTTTATATATCTGAAGGTGGTAGGAAAATCCTTTTCTCCCCTTAACAATTTTTGACAAGTCTAAACCAATTTCATTTTCCTCAAAAATTGTCTTGGAATTGTTCTGGGGGGTTTGTTGGAAATAACAAAACCAAACTAAAAAGTTTGATCTTTCTGCTGCCTGTAAACTTTCCAAGTTCTGCATTTTTGATGAAACCCCAAAAAGTTTTGATGGAATTAGGCATTTCTTTTGTGAACATTTCTGTTTTGTTGAACAAATATTTTCTACGAAAAAAGGATTTCAGCGGAAACTATTCGAGCTGTGCTGATCGCATCTTTCGTTCACCCTTTATTTAGTTTGCACGTTCTTTGCTGCAAGGATGGTCTTGCTATGTGTCTGTACAGCTCCCAACACAATGGGGTTGAAAACCAGCAGAATCTGGCAATCTTGCCCACAAGCAATGGTAAACAAAATGTGTCATGGGCCACAAACAGAACCCCTTGGGCCGCAGGTTGCCTGCCAATGGGTCAGTAATTACTAACCCAAATATATTCTTACAGATTAGAATGCAATAAACATATTAAACTATATCACTATATCCTACATCTGAAAGCTCCCCCAGCTTGGACAAATCCAGATTCATATCTCAATTGAGCAATCCATCCCTATTCAGCAGGGCAATTAAGCATGTTCTTGTCTTAGAGCTTGTGCCCCCAAGTCCTACTGATTTGAGTGGGATGTAAGCTCTTGCTTAAAGTTAAGCAGATGCTTAATTTGTTTGCTGAGCTTGAGCCTCTGATCTGAGTCTGGATCCAAATATTGTCTTGATTTGAGACCATCACTAATTACTTTTACTAATAATGCAGGAATAGGAAGACTATGCAGGTACTCTAGCATGTGGCTGGGAGTCAACAAAATCACAAACATTTTTGGAAGGAGGCTAATCTCCTCCCACCTCCAGGATTTTGCCTTATCAATCTCCAGCTTATGTGAACGATATTAAAATATAGTTTTTCTGAGATTCAAAGTCCCACTTTTAATTAATCCCTGCAAATACAACCCTTGATCCTGACAACAGGTAAGTACGTATCTCCAGTGGGAATATTAAACCCATGCTTTTTCAGGATCGGGGCCTTATGCCCCATGAATTCACCACCGAGCATTGACCCCAGTAGCGGCAGTAACTGTATCGCTTTCTAGCCTTTAGGAATGCCACAAGTGTCTGTAGGATTCTCGTGTTGTGGTTGTTGCTGCCCCTTTGCTACCTTGCATTATGTAAGCGGGGAAATGGTCCCGCTATTGTGGGGAACTTTCCTGGCTTCTATACACCCCGGTGAAATGAACCAGTGAAAGGATCTGAGTCCCCGCTTCCTTTACCCCACGGCTCCCTGATCCTGAGGGCTCCCCCTCCACTCTCCTGAGTAGCAGAGCCCTCGAAACCCCAACAAGGCTGGGCCCAGGTTTCCTGGGGCTTAATCCCCGACCTTGTAGTCACTAGGGGCAGGAGTTAGGGTGTCCCCACTCCGAGGTGCTCTCTTTACACATGGTTTTTGTGGGGTTGAAGGACGGTCTTGAAGTGGGGTTTCGGAGTGGAACAACGGGAACTGGATGGAAAGGTTCATTAATACAGCTCAGCTGCTGGCATATGCATTAAACAACAACCAGGACAGCTAATTAATCATGTATCAGAGGGGTCTCCGTGTTAGTCTGAATCTGCAAAAGCGGTGAGGAGTCCTGTGGCACCTTATAGACTAACCGAAGTGTAGGAGCATAAGCTTTCGTGGGCAAAGACCCACTTCGTCAGATGTTAATCATGTGTTTCGCATCCTCCGTGTGCTTGGCCCTGTACAAAAGGTGGGTTTTGCCCCAACACGGTGTGGTAGTTGGTTAACAAGGTGTGGCTCAGTAAGGACAAGATACAGCCAGCCTTGGCTTTCTTTCCAACAGGGTCCAGAAGCAGGCTGCTCAATCCGGGGAGGCCAGGCATAAAGAAACAAGCCAAGCCAGCCCGAGGAGGGGTGCGCGTGTGTGGTTTTCTCTAGGCTCCCAGCATCCCGGAATAATCAGCCAGCCTCAGGCTCACCCTGGGGGCCTCCGCTGGACGAGAGAAACCCGCTGCCTCCAAGGAGGCGTCTGTCCCGGAGCCTCCCCGCTGCGCAGTCCCTGTCCCTTTAAATCCGGGCTGAGCGGGGCGCGCAGGAGCAGCGCGCCTCGGAGCGGGTCTCCTTCCCAAGCAGGCTCGCTCTCCGCTGGGAGGCAGGAAGAAGGGGCGAGAGGGCGAGGGAGACCCCCAGCCACCGCATTGCCGCTGTGCCACGCGTCTCCCTCCTGCCAGGGCTGGGGCGCGCACAGCTGCGGGGCTGAGACCCTGCATCGCTCCTGCTTTTTCCTTTTAATCGCGGGCATTTGCTTCTCCCTCCCTTTCTCCTCCCCCGCCCCCCTTTTATTTCCCTTTCCTGGGAGGATTTTTTTTTTTGAGGTGGAGCCGTTTGCACCAAAAACCTTACAGCTGCTGTCGCGTCTCCCTCCTGCCAGGGCTGGGGCGCGCACAGCTGCGGGGCTGAGACCCTGCATCGCTCCTGCTTTTTCCTTTTAATCGCGGGCATTTGCTTCTCCCTCCCTTTCTCCTCCCCCGCCCCCCTTTTATTTCCCTTTCCTGGGAGGATTTTTTTTTTTGAGGTGGAGCCGTTTGCACCAAAAACCTTACAGCTGCTGTTCTCGCTGCTGTTCCCCCCTCTGCCCAGCAGGAGAAGGGACTGATCCTTGGGGACCCCCCCAGACCATGAAGCACCCCAGGAAATGGACTCCCGCCTCCCCCTGGATCCGGTGCACGATTCAGATTTGATTCCGTGGGTTGGTTGATTGCCCTTTTTTTTTTTTCACCTTTTGGGGGCTTTGCAAACCGAATTACATGCATGTCCAGTGGGGGAAGGTTTAATTTTGACGATGGAGGCTCCTACTGTGGAGGCTGGGAGGACGGAAAGGCGCACGGCCATGGGATCTGCACCGGCCCAAAGGGCCAAGGCGAGTACACGGGGTCCTGGAGTCATGGCTTTGAAGTGCTGGGGGTCTACACCTGGCCCAGTGGCAACACTTACCAGGGCACCTGGGCACAGGGCAAGCGTCACGGCATCGGCGTGGAGAGCAAGGGGAAGTGGGGGTACAAAGGAGAGTGGACTCATGGATTTAAGGGACGCTACGGTGTCCGTGAATGCATGGGCAACGGAGCCAAATACGAAGGCACCTGGAGCAATGGATTACAGGACGGCTACGGGACAGAGACCTACTCGGATGGAGGTAGGTGATGTGTTCGCATCTTCTGAGCCCCGTCCAGCGGTGCTAAAAGGGGCTAGGTGAGAAGACCTCTCCCCTTTCCTCAGTACAGGGACCCTTGGGGCTGAACTCTCCGAGTTTGTAGCCAGCTCTCTGGAAGGGCGCGATGGTGGCACCAATTTCCTATCCGGCACAGGAACAGCGTGGCATGAGCCCATTGTTTGCTACCAGCAGCCCTGTCTACTCGATGGGGCGCTGAGCTTTGTCTCCCGGCCAGATTCCCAACGCTTTTAAAGGAGGATGTGGGAGCCAGAAGGGCCCTGGGAGGCAGGAGAATGTGCAGCCAAGTTGAAAGCTGTGAAAACCCACTTGCAACTTGGCCTATGACTGCACCGTCCTAACCTGTAGGATCCCCGCCAAGCTTGCAAAGCCGTCACCGGGTGATGGGAATGGCCGTGGCACGGCTGAGAGATCTTGTACAAGATATTTGAAATTCTAGCTGTAAGAAACTCTGAATGCTCCCAGCAAGGGTCACATCTTTAAATCTGTGTATCGCTTTCCTGTCCCCTCCAAGCCCAAACCTACATTTAATACACTTGGTAATACCAGGCAAGAGACTTTAATTTCACAACAGCTTAATGCATCTTGTGGAGGCTCAGAGGGATAGAGAGAGCTTTTCTCTCAACGTGGCTTAATAAAATAAAAACAAGAAAACTCAGGGTGATCCAAAACCGTCCAACTAACAGGCCAAATAGCGGCATGTCTGCTGCAAGTGGTCATATCATTCCATCTAATCTAAACTGCCACCATAATAAGAGCCAGGCCTAATTTCAAGAAGCCAGTGTAATTAAGGAGACTGGCCTGTTTTTGTTGGGTGTGTGTCTATCAAAACTGGGCTTTCCAGGGGCGTTCTTTTCCTGAACTTTGATACTGGGATGTGTCTCCTAAACATGGTAATTTTTTCAGTCTTGCTGGGGAAAAAGCTCTTCTTGCAAGTCATGTCTTTGGAAAACAGAGCCCCCTGCTCTGTGGTGAGATAAGAAGGCGACATTAAACGTGACTTGAAGCAGCTTTTAGTTTTGTTCCAAAAAAAGAAATGGAATGATCTATTGAAAAGTAATAACTTTGCACTGCTCGGCTTTTCCCCAAAAGAAAATACAGTTGTAGCTTTCTGCTTCCCGTAGCTGGGAGAGCATCGGGATCCCATTTTAAATCTGTTTAGCTTGTACTGCGAAGCCGTCTTTAAATACTGATAATCTTCTGTGCGGAGGTGATCTAGGTTTGGTGAATAATCATTTTTGTTATGCATTTGAAATAATATGACAGGATCTGGACAGATTCTGTATGCGCCTGACGAGAGTACTGTCTATCTCTGCCCCTCGTGACATCTGGGCCTGATAACATTTTCAGTAAAGCCAAATAACAGTCAGGCTGTAAATGCCTCACTGCTTTTGTGGACTGCATGTCCACAAAGACCGGCAGTGTGTGCTTGCATGCACATGCATACACAGTCACCAGCAATGCGTGCTTGTGCCAAATTGCAGCAGAACAGTTATTTGAGAAGTAAGGACACCAGACCTAAAATGGAGCAGACTATGAGCCATTCATATTTTCCCAAGAACCTAACAAAAATGAAGTTTTCCTCCCTATTGAGTTAGGGCTTGAGTCTTATTTTAAGAAGGGTTAAGAAAATTGTTAGGGGGGAAAGAAAAAGATGGGGACTGTAGCAAAATTATTTCCATGAAGCCCTTACAAACAATTATAAGGGTAGAGCTATCACCTTATGTATTTATCTTCGTTAGGCCTGTAATTATTAAAAGGAAAATACAAAGCACAAAATGTATATTCCAGTGAACTGGTTGTATTTTTTTCAAAAGACAGCTCATCACATCTCATTCTGATGCTTACTTTGGGATGACTGAATACAATAGAAATCACACTTAAGTGAAGTCTGCTCCAAGATCCCTTGGTACCAACCAGCCACTGTCCCTTCCTGAATAGATGTCGCCACTCTGTCTGGGCAAAAAGGCCAGATCTGAGCATCTCCAGGCTTCCTCCTGCAAAATCTTAATGATCATCATCCTTTTGGATAATTGGGGCCAGATGTGTGCAGTCATTATATTGAAAGAATAATTGTCTAGCTAGCATAAGAGAGTCGACTATTGGAAATTATGCTTATCTCATTAATCTATCCACATTATTAGGTTTTGTCCCTTTCCGGTGCATTACAATCATTGTTCCATCATCTGAGGCTTGCCACCAATGCTAAACATCCATCCTGCACATTGTGTGGTCAATCAACTGGTGCTAAATGAGGGGTCACCAAATGGGCAGCATGGTTTGGAAGGTGTGATGCTAGTGAACTAGATGGGGTGGACACAAATTTTACTTCTTGAGCAGTAGATAGAAAAGCAGCAGAAGTCTCAGATCTCCAGCAATACCTCCCGGAGCTGGCGCTGGGAAGCTGCGTTTTGCCCGAGTAATGCACAAATGCATTGTACAGTTAGCTTGGATGTGCCATGCAAAGAACTGAGTTTTGTTTCCACCAGCCACTCACCCTGTCCTGTTCACAGACATGAGCATCTTACCCCCCCCCCGCTCAACACACACATTGTACTCACACCTGTCTCTCACACACATCCCCCGTATGCAGATTGCAGACTCTCACACCTCCCACATAGAAACACTCATCCCCAGGCGCACACTCGGTCTTGCCACATGTACCCACATGGTCCCTTAGATGCATACAGATGCTCACACTCCCTGACACATCCACTCCAACCATATAATTATGTCCCGCAAGCACAAAAAACTACACAAATGTAACACATGCAGGAGAGCACTTCTCTCCAATAGCCAGGCACATCTTGCACTCATAAAAATGCCCCCATGATGTGCATTGAACACACGCTCTTCTCCATATGACAGACAGTTACACATCCACCCACACCTGCTGCATAGAGATGCACGCACTCGCTTCCATGCATACCCTATGCACAGTCCCATAGATATACATCTCCCTCACAAACCATATTTTGAAAAGATATCATACCCCTACCTACCTGTACCCAAACCCTTCCTGTCCTCTGGCCCTGGAAACCTACTTATGCCCATTCATAAACTGGCTTCAAATGACTGATTTACTCTTTGTTTTATGTCAGACTGAGATACTGAATCTGGTGAGGTTTGTTGGCATTAGACTACCATAAAAATGGATTAATGCAGAAGTGAATCAGATCTATCTGTTTATGAAGTCGCCGATTGGAACTCTTTTAGAGTATGTCTACACTAGGAAACTATTTTGAAATAACTAAAATGGATTTAATAACTCCTGAAATAATGTGTTTCCACCACGGAGGAGCCTCACAATTAGTTTGAGGCAGGCTCTGTTATTGTGGACATGCTACCTCGACTTGGAGTCCCAGGAAGCACTGTGGAATAATTACTTTGAATGACTCTGGGTAGCAGTTATTTCGAAATAGCAGCAGTGACGTGCCCACAGTAATGCTAGTTATTTCAAAGGAAGCGTTATTCCCTGAGGAAAGCAGGAGTACAGACTTCGAAATAACCAGCCCAGTATTTCAAATTAACGGGCTTGGTAGTGTGGATGCTCCGCTTATTATTTCAAAATAAGGGGAGTTATTTCGAAATAACTCCCTAGTATAAACAAAGGCTTAGAGGTCTGGGCCTGATTCATTAAGGATGCTTACTGTGGGCGTAGCTTTAAGCAAGTGATTTGTCCCATTGAGTTCATTACTGAATTGTGCCTGTGCTAACAAATTTTCAGTATAGCTTGGTTCAAATTTTAAAATGTTAAACAATTTTTCCCAAACTGAAAGGGGAGAAGGGAGAAATGATAGAGATGCAATTCAAGTAGAAAAATCCACTACTGCTACAGAAATCCTTTTTTAAAAAAAGGCAAACAAACAAAAAAACTAGAGAGAAATACTTTCCGTTCTGAAGCAGATTATTTTCTAGTTGCTAAAATGATGGTTGCTAAAAGGTGGGGTTGGGGAAACTAAATAAATATCAAATTATTGCCAATGTCAGGCCTAAAAATGACTACTGGGAAAAAAAATCCTGAAAGCTATTTTCTTTCCTACCCATCTCTATTTTAGCTGCTTTATATTTGGGAATTGAGGCAGCGCTGGGTAAAGAGTACCAAGAACCAGCACCCTCTTAAAATAGCTAAGTGATACAATAGTGACTATGCCTGACTGACGTTAACAATTTGAATTAACCTCGCCAAACCTCAGGGGACTAAAACCTTCAGCTCCATCAAGCCAGTCTCTGAAGACCTGCTTGTCTCTCTCTTCAGGACGTTGGAGAGAGATAGCAGCAGTGTGTTGGATGGGCACATAGCCCCATCCTGGGAATATCTACTTTTCCATTCCTAGAGGGGCATTTATAAAAAACCCTCTGTCGCTCTTCCAGATCTCTCCTAGGAAACCCAAACTAGTCAACAAACTGAGAATAAATCAAGTGAGCACTCTTTTAACTCCAGAGAATGTGTCCATCATAAACTCGGCATATAATGCTCCATGCACTGGTTCACAGTGTATATTCTTGTTATCTCTTCCATTACCTTGCCCTAGTGTTTCTTTGTAGTATGGTAAAAGACCAAAGGCTAAAGGTGAGAATGCTTCTGTGCCATATGAAGGTGACTTTTAGCAGGATTTAGAGGGGAGTCTGGTATTTGAAGTCTTGGGGCAAACATCTGGAGGAGTTTGGTCCCCAATAATTCATAGCCTTATAAACCACTCAGCCATCTCAATACTAGTGTGTCAAAGTTTTCCTTGTCCACATGCCTGGGGTGAATAATAATAGTTGATGGGCAAGTAAAATATCATTCATATTTTCACTAGGCATGGGTGAGCACTTTGATTTTTGTGCCTGGGCTGCCAAATTTTCATGACAGTTTTGGAAAACTGCCACAGAGGTACGTATGGCAGTGTGTTGCAACCAGTAAGAAAAAAAGAAGGTGTCAAATTGTCATGGGGATGGTTGGGCCTAGTGGTCAGAGC